TTATTTTTGTACTCAAATTGTTTTTATCAGCTGGTTGTAATAAATAGAAAACTAAAAATCTAAATTACAGAATGAATGTACTGAAGGGAGGATTCTTTGGCTGCAGTGCATCATGGATAAAATTAGCCACAGTCACAATAGAGCGACCGACGGCCAAGTTGGCTGCAGTTTGTAAAAACAGGAAGTTATGTCGTCCCGCAGTCCGTGGGCTTTTACTCACCAGCACACTGGTGGCGCCGTTGGCCAGAGGGCCGTAGGTGATGTAGGAGTGTCCGGTGATCCAGCCGATGTCCGCCGTGCACCAGTAAACATCATCGGGCTGGTAGTCGAACACCAGCTTAAAGGTGGTGGCGGTGTAGAGCATGTAGCCGCTGACTGTGTGAAGGACTCCCTGAGGACGAGAGCAGAGGACGGTGGGTAAGAACGAGAAACACGAGCAACGTGTGACAAACACGTGATTCCAGAGAGCAAAGACAGAACAGGAGCTTTTCATAGTTTGTATATTAACACTGGTGAAGATTTCTGGAGCTGATCTTTATAATCAAATGTTAAAATGTGTTGAACCTTGGGTTTGCCGGTGGAGCCGCTCGTGTAGAGGATGAATAGAGGATCTTCAGAATCGCACCACTCGGGTTCGCACTCGTCTGAAGCTCCTCGTGTCAGACTGAGCCAACACAGGTCGACATCAGGGTTCCACGGAACCTGGGAGCAAAGTCGTCAACAACAACAAAAAGACACGAACATGTCAAACAAACGAAGACGAGGACAAACATGCAAATACACAGTTAACGACTCATTTCCTATGAATCACAGACTCAAGGTGAAAACAGAACAATGTCTCTACAATCGAAAACACAAGGTGAAAGAAAGTTAGTTTCATAAACACACAAACGAGCAGAGAGAGAGTTTAGATCCCAGTCAGAATAAAGAGACGTCCTCAGAGCTGGGTCATTTACTGTCTGATCGAGAACAGGAAATAAAGACGGACGACACGACAACAGCCGAAAGTGAAGCCTAAACATCTTGAGCGCCCCCTGGTGGCTGACTGCAGTATAATAAACATCATCACCACAAAATGGCAGCGTTTGTATTCTTGCTTAATCGTTGTACAATCGAGGGCAGAAGAGACGCCGTGTCCGTCTTCTGATACAACTTATGACAAAATATGAGTTAAAAATACAAATGTTTCAGAAACATTAAGGAAAGATCGAATTCATTCTCTTTATTCTCGTAAAACTAAACTTAAACGATGTAAGATTACGACGTACAATAGTGACTGAGGATACATTTGG